TGAATGACCTGGTTTTTTAATTTGGGTTGCCGTAGACTTGAACCATGGTCATTAGTGGAATCCAGTCAATGCTTTGTTTTTTTCCTTATCTGCAGGGCTGGCCTGTGTGTAGTCAGTGATTTTGCTGGTGGCCAGTGGGGAGAGGGGACGCTGGTGTAAGCCTTAGTGGATTGAGTTAGTGAGAAATGAATGTATAATTATAAAAGTCACTAGGCGGTCTCAGAGCCATGAGCGATACGGCACAAGCTTATCTGCACAGGTCCTTTAGCTATGACTTGAGTGTGGCTGGCAGATCCAGCACAGAACCCGCTGGGTGTGTGCCCCATACAGAGTGTGTTCAGTCTCTCTGTGTACTTTTAAACAACAACAGAACTGTCATTTATGTGAGAAGTGACTTGTATATGGCATCTAAAAGAAGTTTAATTCTTTGAACATTATTAAGGACTGGGTGCCAAGTATTTATCTTTATATTAGAACTCAAAGTAGAACATGTTTTTTGTCTTTTAAAAACTTATTCTATCAAAAGCAAGATGGGCACACTTATTACAGTATAGTGAAAAGAACAAGGACCAAAGTCAGAAAATCTGAGTTTGAATTCTTGATCTGGGTGTGTGGGTGTGTGTGATTTAAGGCAAATCATTTACTCTCTGAGCTTTGGTTTCCTCATCTGTAAAACGGACTTAATATCTACTTGGCAGGTAGGGAGGCTTGAGTAAGTTAAGAGGTCTAAAAAATATGGTAAACTGTAAAGTGTTGTTGAAAGATGAGTTGATTATCTTTGAGAAACAGAGAGTGCTGCTCCAGAGGAAAGGGTAATTGTGCTCTTGGACTTGTATAAATGAAGTTTCTTTTAGCAATGGGAAGACATTTTCTGGTTGTTACCAGAGAAATTGAATTACTAACACTCTAATTTATTAAAATAAAATATTTGCAAAAGGCTCAGACACTTCATGAAGATTCTAAGGTCTGTTCTCCCCTCTCTTTCCTCCCATGGTTCTTTCAATGCAGTTTGTCAGCAATAGTGTCCTGAATAGTAAGAAATGGATTTGGGCTCAGTTCTTTGAGTGTTTATAGAGAATAATTAAAACCTTCAGAGCCATTGTTATTTCCCATCTAGAAATATCTCATGAAGAAAGTTCAGTCACGCAAGGAAATAGATAGCAGGAGGTCAAAGTGCTAGTGATGCTGCTTGATTAGATATTTTGAAAGGAATTTGTATTTTTAAAGCTCTTTCAGATGGCTTATTCATTCCTATTGACAAATCACCAAATTTTTATCCCTAAGGACCATATTTCTATATAATGTAACTGAAGTTAGGGGTTTAATCTAATGAAGCTACATTTATCAATGATGTTGAGCAAGCAGGTAACTAGTTATTGAAAATAACATGTGGAATATGAAAGAGTCTCAGAAGTGAGGATGATGGAAAACTGCAGTCACATCAATTTTGAGTTTCAGTGCAAAATCTAAAATTCTAGTACTTAGAGGAAAAAAAATATTCATTTAAATAAGCATGGTGCCAATAATCCACCCAAAGTTCTTCAAAATAAATATATTTTGACATGGTACTTAAATTCCTCAATGTATTCCCCCAAATGTTTCTGTTTTCCAAATGGCCATGTTGAAGATAGGCAGACAGAAAAGGCTTGGTGCATCAGGTGCTGGATTTATAACTCAAACAGTAGCTCCTTTTGAGGTTAGACAAACAACTCCAACTTGTAGGAAAATAGTTGGGCTTTGTATTTTTTCTCCATAAAAATTTCACTTGAATCCCTGGAGGTAGGCAGAGCTGTATAGTTTTTTGAGAAGTCACCATGATGTAGACCAACTGTGTTTTATTTTTAATTTTTAAAAATTTTAATGACATTTTGAAACTTATCTACAATCATCATCTTTTTGCTTATTTATTTCTTGGTTGCATAAGCAGGTAGGATCTTAGTTCCCCCACTGCACTGGAAGCACGGAGTCTCAACCACTGGGCTACCAGGGAAGTCCCCTGACTGTGTTTTAAAGCATCCGTTTTCTTCATTTTATGTTTCTTAGAAATAATATTAGTAAGTTACTCAGACAAGTGAAGAAAAAATGCCTAAAACATAATAGCATATCCTAAGCACATTTGAAAAAGTATGTTTGTTAAATTTAGACCCTGTTCATAATTTCAAAGGATTAATTTTAAGGAACCTAATCAAGTCAACAGGACCAGCAAATGTGTCTATTTGCAAAAGTCCCTCTGGGTGACAAGACCACAGTCTTAAGTAAGAAACAGAAAACTACCCTAAGAAAGAAAGTGGGATTTTACTAACTTAGTGAATGTCAACATATTATATATGCTAGTCAGCCAAATTATTTTAAAGGAATAAATATAGCTCTTGTGGTGTGAAGACATTGTCTACAAGAAGAAACATTAGAAATCTCTCAGTAACTGTCCACAGATTTAAAATTTTAGGTCCTCAAGCAAATGCTACATTAGCCAGAGTTAAAATTCACTGAGTTTCATGTGTTAGGAACTTTATAGAGAGAGGTAAGTAGTATTGTCTATAGACAATAGATATGAGTGATAGATATGAGTGATAGATAGATGTGATATGAGTTGTCGCTGGTCATGGGATGTCTAAAAATTTGGTTAGTTGGATTGTATTATTAAAAAGCATTGTTTCATTTATATCGAGGTGTATGTATCCCTGGCATCAGCTGCTGTCATACACAAGGTTGGAAATAATAACTGGCTCCTAGATCACTTATCAGTTCATTTTGGGAATGCGGTGCTTTTTTGATTATTTTAGCCCTCAGCTAGGCTATTGCTAAAATCCTGTGACAGTTGGATCCTAACTGATCCCTTAGTGGGTAGTGTTTAAAAAAAAAATTAGGACTTGATACATAGACACAATGGCACCCAAGATGTTGAATATGTGTGAATCATTATTTAAAAGTTGCTGGTGGAATTGAAAATTCAGGGGGATGATTAGAAATAATAAGCTGACCTTTTTTTTAAACAGTTCTGTGGCGAGCGAGTTTGTATACTACAAAATTTGCCATGATCATTTTTAAGTAAAGGGGAAGTATTGATAGGTGTCTCACTATAAGCCACTTTCTTTTACTTTAAAGTAATATTAAAAAGTAATACAATATATTTTTTCACTAGTAAAATGATCTTTTGATAATAATAAGATTTAGCAATAGAAACTTAGCATTTCTAAATCTGTAAGCAAAGAAGCCTTGAGTGGACCAGGAAGAATGTTGTGGTTCCCTGTGTTGAAGAAATACAAATTTATATGGGATAAACAAACACTTATTATGCTGGCCAATTGTCAGTATTGTGAAACACTGAATTCCACTTTGGTGTAAACAATAATCAGGCTAAAAATAATTCCTAGGAAAACGTCTTTTGAGTTGTGTGTAGAAAAAAACTTGACAAGAATTGTTCTGATTTCATGATGAATTTTTGTTTTTTCCCTTTTGGAGCTGATTTGTATAACCTTTTTCTGTGTGTCAAATACAGCATGTATACAGGAAAAGTTGTGAAATTTAAGAATAGCATAATAAGTAAGATACAATCAGCACAATGTAACTATTGGTAGGTCAAAAAGAACATTGCCAGCCTCTCAGAATCAGTCTGTATTCCCCTTCCCCATCTTGGTCCTTGACTATTATTTTTATGCAAATCACTCAGCTATGTGTGTATAAGTGTGCGAGAATAAACTACCCGTGTGTGTCCCTAACTGTTAGTATTTAATTATGCCTCTTGTTAAAGAAATGATGTATTCTCTTTCATCTCAAAATCAGGTTTATAGTGCTTTGCTGTGCTAAGACGCTTCAGTCGTGTCCGATTCTTTGCGATCCTATGGACCATAGCCCACCAGGCTCCTCTGTCCATGGGATTCACCAGGCAACAATACTGGTGTGAGTTGCCATGTCCTCCTCCAGGGGATTTTCCCGACCCAGGGATCAAACCTGCAACTCTTACGTCTCCTGCATTGGCAGGCCAGTTCTTTACCACTGGAGCCACTTGGGAAGCTCCCACAGGTTTATAAGATCCGTCCAAATAGCACCGTGCGATATAGTGTGTTCTTTTTCATCAGAATATAGTTTATTATGATATGCCTATAATATAGTACTTAACCATTTTAGTGTGGGCCTTTGGATTTGTTCAGTTTACTACTACTTCTGCTTTGGACATTATGGCCTATAAAATCTAATACACACGGACATGAGTTTCTCAAAGTGTGGTCCTTCCATCCACAGCATCGGCATGAAACATGTTAGAAATGCAGAGTCTCAGGCCTCAGCCCAGATCTCCATTCAAATATCACCCTGAGATATATGTGTTTTTATATATATATATATATATATATATATATTACATGCTGTTTCAGTGATTGTGCCTTTAATCACAATATTTTGGGGTTTTCTGATTTGGAAACTGCCTTAGGAATCCTTTAATGGCCACATACCTGCACACAAATATTCACATACTCACTGCAATCTCTGAGCAGTAGCCTCATTGCTCATTTTTGAAACAATTTAATTTTATCTAGTTTGAGTCAAATTTTGGGTATTTCCAAAGATAAAATAAAAATTCAAAAGAAAATGACCTGCTAACAAGAGCTTCAAAGAATATGCAACAGATGGAAGACCTGCTGAAAAGAGGACCCTGCGCACAGAGTAGGCAGATTATTTCCAGAAAGGGAGCTGCAGAACCCCACGGGGAAAGCAGGTCAGACTCTCAGGTTGAACAGACATGGGTTTGAATCCCCTGGTGTCCCTGACTCGCTGCTTCATCTTAGGGAAGGACTGAGTTCCTTTAAGTTTCAGTTTCCTCCTTGGCAAAGAGGGGATAAGAACATCTACTCTGAAGATTCACAACCAATGACTCTTTGCAGCACCACAGTCAGGCTGCGGGTGCGTTTTGGCTTTGGATCAGCGGCATCAATCTGTGTGAATATGACTTTCATGCCTTCAGAGCTTTCATGCTTTTCACTTTACTTTCGTGCTTCCTGCAGGAACGATTCCAGGTGAAGAACCCTCCCCATACTTATATTCAAAAGCTCAAAGGCTATCTGGATCCAGCAGTAACCAGGAAGGTAAGATGGATTTGTTTCCACTGCATGTTGTCGCTTCCTCACTGGCTGGGACAGTCCTCGTGCCCTGGAGGAGACCTTCCTTCCTCTCTGTTATAAACTCTGCTGGTGCCTCCGGGAAAACAACCCTGGAGTTGTTGGAGCCTGACAACATGAAAAGACAAAGAAAAAAGTCATCCTGTCTTGAGAATGTGTTTAAAAGTTCTTTCCTGAGATGGGAGCTGTGTACCTCTGATGGTTATTGAGTAGCTGCCATTTATAATTATACTGGGTGATTAGTTCAGCTCGGAGGTGTTCAGGCCCCCAGAAAAACAGAGCCTCGCAAAGCGAATACTTGTCTTCCATGCCTTGGTGCGTTTCCAGAGACCTTGAAAAATCACTGGGGCTTTGTCATCCCAGCTGTGTGCTCACATCCTGTGTTGATGCTCTTGGCGGCTTCTCCCCAAGCCGTGCCCCAGGCCCGGAGAAGGTGAGGAGAGAATAGCTGATTCCATTCTCAGCAGACTCTCTCCTCTTACAGACGAGCTCTGCTTTGTGCAGCCACACAGTTGGTTTAAACTGATGCCTCGTGGTAAAGCATGTAGCCGGGCACAGCCCGCTGGGCCTGGATCAGCCTTGGGATGTCTCAGGGCAGAGCCGCCCTTGCTCACGATGGGTGAAGGGCCCGCCACCAGACAGCACTTGTTTTTCGGTTGACCTGCCGCAGCTCCTGCTTTCAGGGCTGCCCTGACAATATCTTGAGCTGAATTCCCTCTGTTGTTTCAGCACATGACTCAGGAGCAGAAAGGCACACTTTTCCTAGTTAGCTGCTGTTTCCGGGTCTCTTGGCTCGGGGATACATGTTTAAATTTTGTTTCCTGCTTCCATTCTAAGTGCTGCCCTCCCTCTGCCAAAAGAAATCAAGCAAAGGAGAACAACTATTATTTCCTCTGGGATGTGTCCTGGCCCTTTGTCCTGTGGTTGCTATGTAGACAAGCAGAAATGAAGTCTAGGAGTGATGAGGCAAATGGTCTGTGGATCTCTGCTGTCACCTAGACGCCGTGTATGACATAGCCTCCTCTTCTAAGAATGTACCTGTCAAAGTATCCTAATACCCTCCTCCTAAATACGGTACACATGTTTCTTTTTAACACGGAACTTCTGTCAGGTCCCCTAAATGAGACAGCTGCTTAATTCTTTTTTATTTTATTATAACTTACTTATTGTTAATTGGAGCATAATTGCCTTACAATATTGTGTTGATTCTGCTGTCCATCAGCATGACTCAGCCGTAGGTATACATATGTCCCCTCCGTCTTGAACTTTCCTCCCACCCCATCCCTCTAGCTTGTCACAGAGCACCAGGTTTGAGCTCCCTGTATCAGACGTCAAATTCCCACTGGCTGCCTGTTTTACTTATGGTAATCTGTATGTCTCCGTGCTGCTCTCTCAATTCGCCCCACCCACTCCTTACCCACTTTGCGGCAGCTGCATCATTCTCAATTTCTTTCTTGTGCCCTTCCCCAACGATATCACAGCCTTCAATCTCATCAGATTAGAGGAAGTTAAAGGAAGGTGTACCCATATGCATAAAACAGAACCCAGAAAAGAAATTCTTTCTTTTGCACAACAGCAGCAAAATTCTATATGAGAAATATTTTCAGAAATCCCCTGTCTTGTAAAGCTTCTGGCTAGATGGCTTAGATCCCAGCATTGAGCACACGCGTCCTGAGCTCTGTGTGTGTGTGTTCAGTCGTGCAGTCCTGTCTGACTCTTTGTGACCCCATGGACTGTAGTCTGCCAGGCTCCCCTGTCCATGGGATTCTCCAGGCAAGAGTACCAGGGTGGGTAGCCGTTCTCTTCTTCAGGAGATCTTCCCGATCCAGGCTTGGAACCCAGGTGTCCCACATCGCAGGCAGATTCTTTACCATCTGAGCCACCGGGGAAGCCCCAAGCTGGATGTGGCAGAATCCGATACAGTTCTGAGAGGTCCCCTCACCCAGAGTATCTCCCATCCCTGACAGTCATCTCAACATTTGTCAGATTTTTTACAAACCAAGATATGAAAACTCCTAGAGAGCACCTAGACTCCAGCCCCGATCCTCACAGGGAGGAAGATGGTTGGAGGGAGGAGGTGGGATCTTCTGGCCCAGTTCCAGTTCTCCCTTGAAGGATAAAGGATAAGGCAAAGGATGCAAAATGAAAAGCAACAACAAATCTGCTGCACAGAAAGTGTCTTGCTTCCTTGCAAATAACTTCATAAAGAGACCCCAGTCAAAGGATGTCTCTTTGGACTGACCTTCATTCCTGACATCTCTGCCCTGGCCTTGTGTGTTCATTTGAGTGGTTGTGTTTGGCCTGAGCCTCATCTTTCAAGATCAGTCATTCAACTCTCAGGAAAAAAAAACAAAAAACCAAACACCTAAAATGGACATTGGATCAACCATCCCCGCTTTAGTAAGAGTTCTGTCAGGAGCTGGCAGTAGGAAATGATCTGTTCCACTCAACATAATTGTCATGCTTAAAGTCTGGAGAAAAGGAGATTTTGCTTGGAGTAAGGCATGGCTTGCAGTTAAAATGAGTTTACAAGTCTCAGTTGCATTATGGGGTAAAAGATTTCTAATCAGGCTTTCCATTTTAGCCAGACAGTCTAAACCAAGCAGTCTCCCCTTAACTGCATCTGGAGTCCTCAAGTACTTCATTCATTAATCTTTTGTTCACATTGAATTGAAGATTCTTAATTTGCTGTCTTCTGAAAAAAATTTCTTAAGCATATTCTATTTCTTCTAAGTAGTTTTAAATGAAACCCTGTAGGGCAGGGAAGGAAGAGCCTAAATTAGATATCTCTCCAAACCAGCCTCCTTATTTAATATACCAGGCGGGTCTCAGTCTGCACTTTGCAGGGGTGTGCTCATGTCTGGCGTGGAGAAAGGCGACAGGCCATGAAGAGAAAAGTCTGGTTCTCTGTGGGCGCTGCAGATGTAAAAGGAAACCTATTATATGGGTCTCCAGGGCTTAGCTGTCTCTGTGGACTCCTCCCTGGGCCTGCCTTTTACAGAGATGGCTGGAGGAAGGCTAAACTCTGCTAATAAATGGTACCCAACTCTTTTTTTTTTTTTTTTTTTGCTGATTCCTACAGGCACACAGTTTCCCTTTGAAGTTTTTTTAAAGCATCCTGGGTACATTGTACAGATGCAGAGTGTTGGCAGTCATTATGTGTTAGGGAAGTATATGCCAAGGTTCTTTGGTGCAGAGTTCGACTGAAATTCAAACAGTTCGCCCAGAGAACAGAACACGTGGTGAAGTCAGTTTAGTTGGGTCTCAGTTAATCCGGCAGTTGCAAAAATGTAGCACCTTCCATGGTAAATGACTGATAAATATTATCTGCTATTGTTGTCATACCTGTTATCTCAGTGTTTTGTGCTACGTTGTTTTGATAAGTGCCTCTTAGTCCTTCTGCGGATCCTCCTTTGTACTCTGTTAGATCCTTGGTGCTACCCCGGTTGTCCTTGTCATTCTGTATGAGGGATGACCTTGCCCTGAGGAAGCATAAGGCTGAGTTAGGGAACCAGCACAGATGGCGGGGGCTGAACTGTGCATAATGCATAGCTGAGTTTTTCCGAGAGGCACATGTGCAGACAGCCCAAGGCTTGTGACTCCGCCGGGGGACTGGCCCCTCTGGAGCAGCCAGCACACTTGGAAGTGGTTTCCTCAGCTGTGTGACCACAGACCAGTCCTCGTTTGCTGGAAAGCTCCCCAAGAAGCCCTGGGCGTAGATGTCCCTCCAAACTACAGATGACTCTGTTTTGTCTTAAGCCATTCTTGACAAATTGGGGTTGGCTGTTTCTTCATGGCATCAGGGATGCTTTAATTTCGCATGTCCTGGATGCTGCACGCCTGAGAAGGTCTTCAGGGTGCCTCAGGAACGGCAGTCGGGGGGAAACTTTTGAGAGTCTTTGGAGAGGCAGCTGGTGGAGAAGCACAAGGACCTTCAGACGAGGAGGCAAGGGTAACTGGAACCCATCTGTGTTGAGCAGGAGTCCAGTCTCCCCGGGGGCACCAAGGCCGGCCTGTGGCAGGGCATTCCCCTCCCCACATCCTGGAATCCTCCATTCTAACCTTCCTCCTGTCCTTTGTCCTTGGGACACCTTTGTCTTTGGAGCTGGATGACCCTGTTCCTTCTGCAGTCATGGCAGCAGAGAAGGAGCCCTAGTATCCTGAGGACACATGGAATTTTGATAGGCAGGGGAATGAGGAAGTATATTCGTCAAGTAGAAGGGAAGTGTCTAGAGGGACCTTCCACATGAGGTAATGCAGAAAAGAATAAACATAGTAGGTCTGAGATCGCCACCTCAGAAAGGCGTGCTTGCAAGGTTGGCTCTCGTTTGGCAACTGGACACTTGAATTTCGGGAGAGTTCCTAGAATTCCCTGTTGATAATGACTCACTGTGCCTGAAGTGTTGATGCCAACCACATGGTTTATACAGAGTGCCTGTTTTCCTTCTGGAAGTCTGTACTTTTGGTATGTGCTCGGCAGAGAGTGTTTAAGTGATAAGCCCCCAATAGAAACCCCAGATACTAAGTTTCTGGGCTTCCCTGGGGCCTCAGTGGTAAAGAACCTGCCTGCCAATGCAGGGGATGTGAGTTCAGTCTCTGGGTTGGGAAGATCCCCTGGAGAAGGAAATGGCAACCCACTCCAATATTCTTGCCTGGGAAATCCCTTGGATAGAGCAGCCTGGCAGGCTACAGTCCACAGGGTTGCAAACAGTCAACCCTGTGCAATGACTGTGCAAGTAAATAATAGCGCTAAGTTTCCAATGAGCTTCCGTGGTTGAAAACATTTCACAAATATTGTCATTTGTCACTCATCTCGGGAGAGACTTGGAAGCATGTATCTGGTTTCCTCTGGACTTCACTCTATGCACCTTTTCCTTTAGTGGATTATACTTTGTAACTTTTTGCTGTAGTAAATCCTAGCTGTAAGGATAACTATATGTTGGGTCCTGTGAGCCCTCCTGAATCACTGAAACGAATGATTTCAGGGACCCCAACACATAGGTATTGTGGGGTAGGGGGAGAAAAAAGGTACTTAGAAACAGTTATTGCATGAAATAAGTCATTTTCCCTAGTCCTTGTGCATAAGCTGACTGTTAACAATGAGAAAAATTTATGTGCTTTGCAAAAAAGAAATGTGAGAGAAGCCCACTTTAGAAGCAGAGATGTTTCTGTATTCTCTTAAACTTATTACAAGTAAGCTACAGTTATAACACTTGCTAAAATATCTTTTGTGAGAATATGTGTTCTTGAATTATAGAAATTCAGACGGCGTGTTCAAGAATCCACGCAAGTGCTAAGAGAACTGGAAATTTCTTTAAGAACCAACCATATTGGGTAAGTGTTCCCACTGAACATTTTAGCTCTAAATCTTTTGGACACTTAACAGAGTGATTGAATCATATCCAAAGAACTAAGCTTCCTTACTGTTCATCGTAAGTTTTGACTGAGATTTAGACGGGTGGAACCTTTTAGTTCTTGAATTGCTCGCTGTACAAGAATCAGTAGAGGCAGGACAGACAGTCCTAGATTTGGGATGTTGATGAGAATAGTAAAATTCTGTCCTTGCATTCAGTGATGGTGTATGTAGAGTGATTCCCTGGCAAGATAGGAACCCCCAACAAGTAATGTAGCCTGAGAGCCTGTAGCCTGAAGCCTTCCCTGTTCTTTGAGTAGGTTACTTGAAGTTGCCTCAGACCTTTCTCACTTCTCTGGCCAAAAGAGGGCAGAAGCTGGAGCAGTGTCACTTGACATACCTCCTTGTGTTACTACTTACTTTGTTCTGATTCTCTTCTTCCTACGTCCCCAAATTTCAGGACCATGAAGTGTAAATCCATACCATGAAAACAAAGTTTGGGGAATCTTTGCACTAACCATTTCAAAGAGTTTTTCATGCAACAGCGTGGTTGCTTTGCCTCCAGCAAATACAAGTTCATTACACACTCCCTTTCTCTAGAATTGTATGGCAGAGTTATACAGTACTTTCAAATAACGTGTTTTGTCTCTAAGGCAGATGATATCAATATTTTCTTCTATAGCTTCCATTCTTTCCAAAGTACCTGTTTAACACCTGGCAGTTGTTTAACCCCCCTGGATTTTGATTCTTTGAGATTTACAAGGGAAAAACTATAGACTTTAGGTCTTTTAGAATCTTCCCCGGTGATAGGTCTATTGGAAATGAAGTTTTACATGTATGTTACATTTTTGTTTTTCAAACTCTCTTGTAAAATAATTACCCAAATAACAGTTTACTTCGTCTTCTGACTGTGTTTGGTGTAACCCATCCAAGTGGTTATTTTCCACAGTTATTTCAGCATATTTTTTTTTTAAGTCAAAGAAATGTAAGGTTAATTTTTAGCTTCAGAGCCTGGGTGAGAATATTCATTTCCTTAAGGATAATTTCACATGCTTCGCACCTGGAGAGTGAAATATTTGGAAAATGAACTGATTCTAACCTAAGGTTGATAATCACCTTTGTCTCAGAAAGTGTGCTGTAGGACAGTGGATCAGAGTGACGTGAGACTAGAACTGGAGGAGAAATTTAGGATTGCTTAAATTGATTGCTCGTTTCACAGATTAAAAGAATTAAGGACCAGAGAAGGCAGGACTTCCCCCAAAGTTGACGTCTGTAGAGTCAGATGCTTTGTTCAGAATGCTGTCCTTTTGCTTATCTGGCCTCATCTGGCAGTTCTTTCCCTGAAAGGAAATAAGATAATCAGGGTTCTGGGATCAAAGCAATGGAGCTTGTCTGTTGGGAGTGAAAGTGGCGGTGATTTAATATAATATAGTTGGGCATCCAGAGTTTAGGAAATTTAAATATTTTGCAATATTCAGGGATCCGGAACTAGATTCCGCTTGGTAAGGCCAACCCCTTATTGTTGGCACTTCTTCTTGACTGAAAATGGTGAGTTGATCTGCAGCCAGGATTTCTACAAATTGTCGAAAAGCATTTCTTCAAGCATTGCTGAAATAATGTGAAATTGACCATCAAATACCAAGGCAGGGCGATCATTTCCAATATAAAGTTGGCAGAGTAGAAGCACTCTGGTTGGGTAGAAGCCAGTACAAATCTGCAAGCAATTGGAGTGGTTTGTTGTTTAGGATACTATAGGCACATTGAAAGAGTTTTACATTTTTCTTTCATCTTCATCAGCTGAAGTTTTCCCTTGTCTTACTACCTATGTGAGATGCTTGGAAAATTTTGGCATTAGCAGCACAAAAATTCATGAAAGTGCATTGTCTGGTATACCCTTATATGGAATGAAACCACACACCAGGATTTTGACCTAATTGCTTGTCCTGAAAATCCAAACCTGAAATGGACTCTTCTTTATGAAGCTAACTGGCTTGACCACTTTTGATGGGGAAAAAGTTTTGAAAATTTAGGAGTGTGAATATAATTAATGAATACAATGAGAAATTCTGGAAATGCAAGGTGCTATAGAGGGAATCCTTAGATTTTTTATACTCTTTGAGATACCATATTAGAAAGGTAATTGGGTGCTTATTTGCCTTAGGGAAGGAGAGATCTTGACCTATTTTTGCCATGCACCCTTATCAGTTCTTTGACTTAAGTTATTATACATAAACTCTCTGTATTTATCATGTGACCTAAGTTAACTTCTCATCTATAAAATTAGAATAATAATACTTATAGGAATGTTGTAAGGATTAAATGGGGCTTCCCAGGTGGCACTAGTGGTAAAGAACTCACCTGCTAATGCAGGCGATGTAAGAGACACATGTTCTATCCCTGGGTCAGGAAGATCCCCTGGAAGAGGGCATGGCAACCCACTCCAGTATTCTTGGCTGGAGAAGTCCATGGACAGAGGAGCCTGGTAGCCTGTGGTCCATACAGTCTCAAAGAGTTGGACACTACTGGAACGGCCTACCACACATGCAAGGACTAAAGAAGATAACTTATGAAAGACCCAATATAGGGTTTAATGCAAGGTAATTACTCTCAAGGCTTCTCTGGTGGCTCAGTGGTAAAGAATCCGCCTGTAATGCAGGAGACATGGGTTTGTCTCCTGGGTTGGGAAGATCTCCTGGAGAAAGAAATACCCACTCCAGGATTCTTGCCTGGAAAAATCCTATGGACAGAGGGGCCTGGCAGGTTCCAGTTTATGGGGTGTCAAAGAGTTGGACATGACTTAGTGACTAAACAACAACAGTTACTCTCAATATATGATAACAGTTACTTGTTATGCTTGTTGAAAATAATATTCTATAATAATAATTGGACAATGTTGTATAATAATGATGTATCCCTAAGGAAATCCATGCAGAAAATGTTACTTTCTCTATCTAAAAGTATCCTGATACTTAGGAGTTTATGATTCCCTGAAATGAAAAGGGAACATTACCTTTAAAAACTACTTGTCCTGAAAAAAAATTATTTTCGGCACATGCTTGCCTTTCAAGGTTAAAATCTGGGGCTTTGCTGCGATAGCATTCTAAGCTACAGCTTTGTCAAGCAAAGGGTGTGTTCTGAGTTTTGATATAAGCCTAAAACTTTTTAGGTGAATGGTCTTTTGAGAAAGAAAATTAATTTTTTTGGAGTCAAATTGAAATAAGAAATGGACTAGAAATAATCTCATTCACTTATTCTCAGGAACTATAATAATAGAGAAGAATTGGATTATGACTTACCCAAGCCCTTAAAATGACTTGAAATACCCTTGAAAGGAGCCAAGTACTGTTAGAACACATTGGCTGTGCATTATAAACAGGCAGCTGTTGTGACATTTTGAAGGCTGGGGTGATTAAGATTCCAGAGGCACTGATGGTTGTGAGCTGGATAGATTGATAGGTGTTAATCCATGAAACTGTATTGTAGGCTCACTGTCTTTGCAGGTAATTTATTTTAGTGAAACTGCCTATTAGGATATAAAATTACTTTTCATCCTGAGTGCGAGGTCATAGAAGTTCTCAAAGATGCTTCCTTGTTTCACTGTATCTCAATGGGGAGATGAGAATAGGCATGCGATTACAGGTGGGAGGTACACGTCAGCAAGGAGAAGAGGAGGGTATCTGTAGAAAGAGGAAGGAACTGAAGGATGTGAGGTGAGCATCTTCTTTCCTGGGCTTCGTTATGAAACAGTGCTAGCTGGGCCAGGCTGGCAGAGGAAACAGAACGGCTTAGGCTGGGTCTTAAGGGTGTACAACACCTATGGTGTATATGTAACAAGGTACCCTATGATTATTTCATTGTTGTTGTTGTTGTTTAGTTGCTAAGTCTTGTCCAAATCTTTTGTAACCCCCATGGACTGTAGCCTGCCAGGCTCCTCTGTCCATGGGATTTTCCAGGCAGGAATATAAGAATGGCAGGAGGGTTGCCATTTCCTTCTCCAGGGGATCTTTTTGATCTAGGGATCGAACCAGTGTCTCCTGCATTGACAGGCAGATTCTCTACCACTGAGCCACCAATGAAGCCCTTAATTCATTCTTAGATGGTGCTTTTTGGAAATTCACGAGATCGTTATAATTTTGTTATATGTTAAGCAGTGTATTCAGCAAGTTAAAAGTGTTTTTTTGTTTTTTTAATTATTATTGCTCTTGACTATTGAACCTTCCATTTTCCAGATGGGGGAACTTGAGAATCAAGCAATTAAATATCTTGCTAAAGTCCACACAATTGAGAAGCATTAAGGTTTGAACCTGGAGATGTCCAAATCTAAAGCTGTTAGCCAAACCAGCAGCTTTAAAATTTTTTTATTTCAAGACTCCTTTACTCCCTTAAATTATTTTGAAACCCAGTAAGTCTTTATTTCTGTGGATTTTATCTATTAGGGCTTCCCTAGTGCCTCAGACAGCAAAGGATCTGCCTGCAATGCAGGAGACCCAGGTTTGATCCCTGGGTAGGGAAAATCCTCTGGAGTAGGAAATGACAACTCATTCCAGTATTCTTGCTTGAAGAATTCCATGAACAGCGGAGTCTGGAGGGCTATAGTCCATAGGGTTGCAAAAGAGTCAGACAGGACTGAGTGACTAACACACTATCTATTAATGTTCCTATGTTGGAAATTTGGACTGGTAAGTTTTAGATATGCTTATTTTAAGTAATTTATTACCTCATAATAAATATTAGTTGTAGATAAATAAATATAAAATAATACACATCATACAGCATTGATAGCATGAAAACAATTATTTTCCAAAGTAAAAAAAAAAAAAATTAGTGACCAGAGTGGCTTTGTTGTTTGTGCATGTTTACAAATCTCTTTAATGTTTTACTAATAGAAGACATCTGGATTCTCATACCTTTGTCTGCATTCAAGTTGTGATTTGTTTTGATTTATGTATATGAGGAAAACCTGGCCTTAAACAGATATGTA